CTACTGCTCAGGCTGCTGGATTCACTGTAATAACAGAGAGAAAGAAACAGATCAGAAGTGCAATTGATATCCCAGCCATAAAATTTTAAAGAGACAAGATTACACTCAGATGAAGCTTAAGCCTCTCCAAAATCTAAAAGAAAATAAGATGATTCCTAGAAGAAGAAGAAGAGAAATATCAAACTGCAAATATCCCAGTTCCATTAACTACAGAACATATTATTTTTGGCACATAAAACCACAGGAATCTAATGGGACCCTGACAGTAAGCCAGATGTGACTGCAATGAGGTGCTGACACAATTGATGCATTTTATTATCTGTTTCCATCAAATGCTCACTGCTCCTTTCTTATGCTGTGCAATTCAGCTTGATCCAAAACAGTACCGCTAGTTTTAAAAAGCTGTAGGGAGGGGTCTCAATCAAAATGATTCTGAGCTTTTCTTCAGCACATGAAAAACAAGTGTCTAGAGATCTAATGGCTTTTGCTAACATTTTCAAATATTCAGGAAGATAGACCACATAAAGATACATTGGAATTCTATTATTTAAAGAAAGAATGTTTACACAATGCCACACTATTAAATCAAAGTAAAGGTCACCCTGAGAAAAATAAAGTTGATCAATATGCTCTTAGCAGAACAAGAAACAGGTTACAATTTGCTACCCTTTTAAACTTCTGAAGATTGTACTACAGTACCATTTTATATGCCTCATCCAAACGTTTTAACTGTACATGTAATAAAAATGTTCCATACTCAAGTCTAGATAATTGTGAGCCACATGGATCTAGCTGTATAAAGGAATGGAGTGATAGCTGTGAAGATGGTGCCCAAACATCTTCAATATGTAATATTTGAGACAGCTCTTAATCTTTCAACAAAACCACATTCATAGGGAACTCGAGCTTTTCACATACATCTACTCTTTTTCTGTGTTTATTAGATCACTAAAATATAACTAGACTGAATGAAAGTATTCACTGCTTTTGTGATTTAATCTCAACAGCATACAAGGTAGCATTTAAAATTCACTGTGACTATTTATTCCGCTATACATGAAATTATATTCCACTACAATACAATTACATGCTAATTCATTTCATACTAGCAAAAATTCAGTTAGCATGGATTGCATCAACCCTTAATTTGATCCAGAAGAACCTTTAAGCAAAAGTTATGCATCTGTCAAAATATGACACACTGTGCTCATTTCATCTGGGTGAAGCCACAGTTGCTGGGACATCTATACATGCTTACTGGCATGGTGCATTCCTACAACTGCCATGAGGGGGTCAGCAGAAATTGTTCTTTCCTTTGTACCACTTACCCACAGCTTTAAACAAATCTAATGATAACTTCCCAATAGAGTAGGCCTACTGAATCAATGGAACTTACACAAATGTTCACTTACCATATTTCACTGGATTCAATGAGTATATTCTAGTTGGGACTACGAATTCAGTTTAGGTCTAATTAATTGCAAACTTAGGGAAGATTGCCATTTGACAATGGCAAGATGGTGCAGCATGCTTTCAACAACTGGACTCATTAAAATTAATTAATGCCTTTTAATAGCCAATGAATCTGAAGGGGGATACTTTCAGGGGCATGTGGGTATGCATTTGTGGTTTCCCATGTTTAGATTTCCATGTTTAGATGTGGGTATGCATTCACGGTTTCCCATGTTTAGATTTAGAAGATCTTAATACTATGACTCTTGACTGTCAGACACATTTTCTTATAACTTCATAGCTGTATCTAACAAATGATCTGTTTGTGAAAGCCACTTGAAAGGTGTTTTTATAAAAATACAAAACAAAGAAACTTCAGATGTTGCAAAGAACCAAAATGCTCTTGCACTCAACTATTGTTCTTCTAGGCACTGTGACAATAAATTGATATGAACAGAACAAAGCCCTGAAATTAGGCCTACATGTCCTCTTTGTAATTTCAGTTTCAACAATCCCCCATTCTCTATTAATAATTATTTAGCTCAGGGTCCGGGGACCGGATGCGGCCCCCTGAGGCCTTTGGACTGACTGACTGACTGAGTCGTGCTGGAGGACCTAGAGAGAACACATTAATCAAATCAGCAAATAATAAAACCCACAAAAGTCAAAGCCACAGATATGGAGGGCTGACTGTACTCTCAACCACATATGTGTAGGAATGCATCCTCATAGTCTGTAAGATACATTGTATCATATATACTCATGTATAAGTTAACTTCATGAATAAGTCAAGGCCAGGTTTTGGGGCCAAAGTTGTGGATTTTGCTATGACCCTTGGATAAATTGAGGGCAAAAATGAAGGGAGCTGAAGTCCCTCGGCCCTTAAAGGGGAAAGGCTTCTGGGAGCTGAAG